GATCCTGGATTGGCTGAGTCATACCCTGCCTAAGGAAAATCGTTACAAGTGGCGCCCGAGCAGGGACCTTCGGATCAGCAGAAACAAGGAAGTAAGCATACAAGCCGTGAGCTTATTGACACAGAGGCTAAGGAAGGAGCCAGCATGGTGAAAACATCCTGGTTGTACAGCCTGCGAAAAGAGGAGTTGAGCGAGATCTGTGGATCGCTCGACCTAGACACCAAGGGTACTGTCGAGGATATGCGGAAAGCAGTGACAGCCCTTATTGCAACCCCCGACTTATCAACGGAAATGAAGGCGAAGCTGACCGAGATGGAGACGAAATACGCAGCAAGAATGCTGCAATTGCCGGAAGGCACCATGCGAGGTGCTAGCCCCAAGCGCCAGGTGCAAGAGCACATTTCTTGTGGTGCAGCCATGGATCGCATCTGTAAGTGGTCAGTGCGCTACGATGGCGAAGGCGGCGCCCTGGAGTTCATCGCACGCGTAGAGGAACTGTGCGAAGTATACGACCTGCCGACCGATATCATGCCACGCATCATTATGGAGCTGCTGCATGGTAAAGCAGCAATCTGGTACCGGAACAACCGTAGAGTATGGTCAGGGTGGCAGGAGTTCAAGCGGGAACTCCTCAAATTCTTCCTGCCCACCCGATACCTAGAACGGTTAGATGACCAGGTGCGACAGACATTCCAGCTAGCCGGCGAGAAATTTAGAGATTACGCGCTCCGCCTGCAGGACTTAATGCGGCACCTTGATTATACGACACAGCAGAGGCTCGACAGGATCGCCCGAAACAGCCGTAGAGAGTATCAACTGTTCTTCGGGGACACCTCCAGCAAAGACTTGAGCGAAATGATCGCGCTGGGAGAACGCTTTGAAGACATACCCGCGCCAGCAACAGCACCACCCATGAGAGAGACCACAGGTATACGCCAGCAGTCAGGAGGGAACGCGCCGTTCATGTCCAGTACTAACAACGCCGGCCGGAATGTGTGTCATCGCTGTGCCCTTCCAGGCCACCTGGCACGCGACTGCCGCAACCCACGTGTCCTCTTTTGTTGGGACTGCGGCCGCCAGGGGGTCTTAACGAAGAATTGCTGCCGCCAATATGCCGAACAACACCCACAGGCGAGAGGCATGACCGCGAAGGAATCACCCGGCCTAGAGAAACCACCAATAGCAGCAACCTCAAAAGTACTGGGAATGCGCGGCAGTACCCTGGTAGCCTCCCTCTCAGTAGGAGGACTACCCACGACCAGCGTGATCGACACGGGAGCGACGAGAAGTATCATCCGCGAGGACGCCGCCGAATGCATCCCCTGGATAACGAGGTCAGACACCCAGAGCCATTCAATCCGAATGGCAGATGGTACAACCCAAAGTAGCCTACGAACCATAACGGTGGAAATAAGGTTAGGCGTCAACGCTGCAACTCTTGAACTACTGGTGGTGAAAAGAGGCGTCGACCATCTCACCTTGGGGATAGATTTCCTGGCCGAAATAGGCACGGCTATGACCATCGGCGACGAAGTCGTAAAACTAAGCCGTCCAAAAATTCCATTGTCAGGCACGACCAGTGACCCCCACCCGGCGAACGGCCCCCCGGAGATGGCCAGAGGGCCAACGGCAATCCAGGCGACCGACAGCGGCAAAGCCACGCAGCCACCGAGAACCAACCGGTCAGCCACACACCGACGGTCAGGCGCGCAGCAGATCGCCAAGGAGCACAAAGCGCCCAGCAACCCCACAATGATAAACGCCGAATGCGAAGCAGAAATCCAACGATTCATCGAAAAGGAATTTAGTAAATTCAACAGCCCCACGGTGTCCAATATAGCGTACCACTACATACGAATGAAGGATGAAATTCCCATAAAGCTCCGGTACCACAGGAAAAACCCAGCGATGCAAGCCATCATTGACCGGGAAGTCGATAAACTAATCGAAGCAGGATGCATAGAGCCTTCCAACAGCCCATACAGCGCACCAATCGTGGTTGTACCTAAGCGCAACGGAGAATGGAGACTGTGCATGGACTACAGAGTGTTAAACAGTCGTTCGATCCCAGATGCCTACCCTCTCCCTCGTATAGAGCAGATCTTGGACAAGCTACGCCAGGCCAGGTGCATTAGCACAATCGACTTGAAGAATGGATACTGGCAGATTCCGATCCACCCGAGTTGCAAGAAATACACAGCATTCACCGTACCAGGCAGGGGTCTGTACCAGTGGCGAGTTATGCCGTTCGGCCTCCACTCAGCGCCAGCAACCTTTCAACGAGCACTCGACCGGGTCATCGGGCCCGAAATGGACCCCTTCGCCTTTGCATATTTGGACGACATAATCGTCATCAGTAAAAGTGCCAGCGAGCAACAACAACACCTGCAAAGGGTGTTTGAGCGCCTCCGAAGCGCAAATCTGGCAGTAAATAAGGATAAGTGCAAGTTCTTCCAAAGGGAACTACAATATCTGGGACATCTAGTCACTGCAGGCGGCATCAGTACAGATCCGGAAAAGGTGTCCGCCATCAGAAGTCTGAAACCCCCCAACAACCTCCGGGAACTCCGTCGCTGCCTGGGTACTGCCTCATGGTACCGAAGATTCGTATCGGACTACACAGAAACGATCCACCCCCTGAGCCAACTACTGAAGAAAAAAACACGCTGGGTGTGGGGCGAGCCCCAACAAAAGGCGTTCGACGAGCTAAAGCGCAAACTTACCGAAGCTCCCGTATTGGCC